ACTGTTGTATGGAAATAACTTTTATGCTCACACAGTATTTTGTTTTTGCTGATTAACAGTTTATTCACAAAAATCGTAATATATATGCAATTGTCAAATAAACTCATGGAGAAAAAAAGTTTACATGGATTTTCTGTTGATTTATTCACATTCTACAGTCACCAAATGACATGAAATATGAAAAACTGTACCTTAATAAACACTGGGACACCTGGCTAACATTGTCATATAGCCTTGAGATTTTTTTTCTCTAGGTACTACTCCTTGTAATTAGGCAGCTGGCATTTTTGTAATGGTGTACTTGCACTGCCTACATGATGTTTACCTTTCTATAGGCACTCAAGCCAGTAACCGGATCAAATTCATTCCATGTTTCACTTACACTATTATAGATTTTTGAATAAAATTTTCTAGAAGGATAGATGAAAAAATAGCTCCTGTGTTTCTCTCTGTCAACTTGTCTGTCACCTCAAAAAGATGCCATTAATATAAATAGTGTGGTAAAAATTTGAAGCAAAAGCAAAGACATAGGGTTTAATGAATATTTTTCTTCTTTGCCCCCTGCAGCGCTCTAATCCACATGCTGCCTACCAGAACCCTGGACCAAGCACATCATTGCCCCAGAGCAGCATGGGATACTCCTCTACCTCCCAACAGCCACCCCAGTACTCCCACCAGAGCCACCGCTACTGAAACTCCTCTCCCACACATACATACACACATTTATACAAACACATATTCAGGCATATAGAGCCCTCACCACGCCCACCTGAACGAATGTATGTGGAGATGGCATGGGGGGGATCTCACCCCCAGGAAAGCCCACCTCACAGAGGGCGCCTTCTCTGCAGCAGTCTGTTAGGTCAGAATGACAACAATCTTTACTTCCTCAAGATAACCCAGTATTAGACACAAAGACATAGAGCAGACGTTGTCGGGTGAAACACAAGGAAGGAGGATGATAAGAATGGATGCTCTGTTCAAATCCAACCTGTTTCTGTTACTCAGATGTCATTAAACAGGTCAAAAGACAATGGCTTGAGTTACGGGGACACATCTGTTGTGTTATCTCCTCCCTTGTTTTTCACCTGTATCTATACCTCCACCTATGCCCTACCCCAGCTAATTATCCTCTTCCTGTTGAAGCTTGGATAAAACTGAAAGCTGCTATGTGACTGCCAGCGTTGACAGATTCCCCGTCTGTCTGTCCTCCAGTCTGTCTTTTTATTTTGTGTGTGTGGCCCTGTGAGGGCCTGAGCTGAGGACTGAACTGAGCTGCTGTGAAACATACTGGGAGAATGTGGAGCCCACACAGCTGTGGTGTTGAGGATTTTTGTTCAGAGGAAAAAGATGATACAAAAGATTTGAGTAGGTTATAATTTGATCCGTTTTAATGGCAAGAGTGGCAAAGCAGCTTGTGTTAGCTAAACACTAAGCTGCTGTATGCTGTGGGCAAGCCTTACAACATGATGACAAAACCACCCAATCGCATGGATGATGGCAGATGGAACATGCATTGTACTGTATTATATTGAAATATTTTACATGAAGCAAGTATCCTGACAATAAAAGTGGAAACAATATTTTGGCAGCGTGTATGTGCAAACAGCTGTATGATGCAAATGTAAGCAGATTTTGCACCTTTATATACACAGTAGTGTTTTCTCATGTCTACTCCAAAACAACACCCAGTGTAACAGAAAGCTTACTGTAAAGATGTTAAGGTTTTAAACATTTTCTCTGTTTAGGTTAACAGATTTCAGCTAAGCATTAATGTACAGAAATATAGTCATGAAATAGCTCTGCAGCCATTATTTTTATTAGCTGTTTAAAATTTACCTTGAATCCAAAGAGCACCTTTGTTGCTGAATGCCATTATATACTTTCCAAATTTTATAAAAAAAAAAAATGCCCTTGCACTTTCTCACTGTCAAAATTGACATCAGGTCAACAGTTCAAAACCTAGTAACGCCAAGAAAAGCAGCGAGTTAAATGAGGTTTTGGCAGTTTGGCTTGAAAAATGAAAATCTGTTTTTCAAATTTCTATTGACCAACTTATTACTTCAGCACTAATATAAATTCTACAGTTTTTTTTTTAATCTCACATGCACAGTATTTCATCTTGAACACAGGAACTCATGCTTGTATTTTAAAGTGTAAATATGTAAACCATATTGACCGAAACTGCCTCATGTTTAATATATATAAGCCTGCCCTTTGTGCTAAATCAATTATAAATGTTAAACTGACAGCTGTATAACGAATGCAGGCTGTAGCTTTTCCCCTTGTCCAGAAACAGAACTGTTTTTTCAATAATGAAACTTGCTTTCCCTTTCTAATGGACTAAACCCTGTTTACAGTCCGGAGATCTGCTCTATTGCTCTAGTTCTCAGACAGTTTTTGTCTTTAGACACACCTGAGAGTACAGCACAGTCCTGTGTATAGCAACTCCTCTCATTGAATCCGCAGGATGTTATTTCTGTTACACAGTACTATCCCCTCTCAATCTCAGCATCAGTGCTTATGCAAGTTATAAATATCCCCTTAACTTGCAATATTCTGCTACTTCATATTTAAATAGCTCTTCGCGTCTACAACATCCCCACGGGCCCCAAAATGAGTTTAAAGTCCTTTCAGGTTTGACGAGGAATGGGACCCATTCGCGTAAAAATTAATAAACATATAAATACGTTTTATCCCTTCAGAAACACCCAATCGTAGCCCCGCCCCCTCTATTTGCAACAGCACAGTCGATCTGGGGAGTCTCCCTGTCAGTCAGTCCAGTTGAGAATCGTTATTGGCTGGTGGGAACGCCAATCGTGTGGTAACTGCTCTTCTTTGACATGTGATTGGTGGATGTGGCCAGTGGGCGTTTTCTTGCCCTCAAAGGATTTTTCTCCGGAGTGGACAGATGGGCTGGGGGACACAGGATGGCAGACCTAATAGGAGTATCTAACGGGACATGCGGACGGGCTGAATTCTTCTAATATTTCAGTTGCTGGTAGGAGTCTTATGATACTTTTTACAAAAACTAATAACACCATTTATAATGATGCTGAAATTTGTGTGGTTATTTGTGCTGACTGTAGTCTCATTTGTACAAACTAAGAAGTCGACACTGGATATAAGCTAGCTAACCTAGTGGTCAGTTGGAGCGGACCCCGGTTAAGGATAATAAACGGATTCTCCGTAGCTGAATCCTGGCTTAAAACAGAATACTTTCCCCAGTGTTCGGCGACCTAAAGCTTTCCTTGGTTAGATAATTTATGTTGGCTGCACACACGCGTGATATTCAGTTTATTAGGCACATATACGTGTTTAAATGGAAGTTTAAACCTGCCCGAAATTGACGGGGACCGGGGTGGATGAACAGATGTGGGTCAGTCCATCAGTAACGGGAAGCGACGGTGCGGAACAGTGATTGATCGCGGTCAGTTCACGCCTGTGTGTGTGTGTGTGTGTGTGTGTGTTTCTCTAAATGTGCGTGTGTTGTCCGGTGGAGCAGAGAGATAGGGTGTGTGTGTGTGTGTGTGTGTGTAGATAAACCATAGTTTAGGGCTTGAAACATCCAAATATTACACGGTAATAACTTTAGCCTGACATTCATGTGATAATATTAACAAACTGTCAGCCTAAAATCCATATAAAGTGCTGCATATTGAAATATCAACAATGGAAGATTAGCTACTCTTTATTATTACTGACTAACTCTATATTCAAAGTAACCAAACATTACTGTCATCTAGGAGCTCAACTACCTCGTTTTGGATTGATGATTGTGTAACCTATAAAATGGCAAAATTAACAAAACAAATGTAATACATACAAGTCAAGGTGAGAAATGCTTACAGTTATTACTGTTCACCTGATTTGGCCAACAGTTAAGGGGAAACCTGATTTATTATTTGAATCAATGAATTGACCAGCTACATCTGGGGACTGGGATCATGTTTGCAATAACGGGTCAGGTATTTGATTTAGAATGATTCTGCAGATTTATTCCACAGATATTAGGACTGGATGATATGGATGAATATTTTCGCATATCAATATAAATATCAAAAATGTCTCTATATTCTTGTCCTCCCCGGCTACATATACGAGAGGGTCAGAGTATTAGGAACACCTCTGAATATAATGTAGTCCAGTACAACACCACCTTTAACTATGACCTCGATAATAAACATATAATTGAATTTATACATTTATAGCAATTTCACCAAAAAACTGAAACATTCTGAGCTTCATTAACACACATGTTATGGCAGAAATGTTACATTGGATTGCATACAATTGTACAGGTGTACCTAATAAAGTGGACAGTGAGTCTATAGCCTCACAGTGCGTTAAAATCACATATTATATAATTCAGTTGATGTTCAAAGTAATTAAACCAAACTCTTCAGTAAAAATGTTGCCAGTTTTTAAGTACAGTTTGCTCTGAGTCATTAATTTGGTATAATAATTATAAGATGATAATATATCACTCTGATTTTGCTGTAAGTCAGTTGACTTCCTGTCCAGCGCTAAAAGATATTCTGCCTTTTGGGGAACAAAAAAAAAAGCTGGTTTAAATTACGGCCAAGCTCCCTGGCCTACTTGGTACCCCTGAGGATTCACTAGTCATTAAGCACTTTTAGTGCCTCACAGGTGTAGCACCATCAGTGTTTCATCATGGGTGCCCCAGAGTAATGTTGGAACAATAAGACATTCCTGGACAGGAGCAGTGTCACAGCAGAAATTTCTGTCATATTTAGGGCATTGCAACTTGATGTAATCGAGGTTGCATTATTCACAACACCAGAACAAGCAAAAAACAGCCTGCAACTCAAGAAGCTGTACTTGGCTCATAAATTGGTAATGACTCCCCTTCCAGATCTTAATGGAGTTCTCAGATTTGTCATAAAGGCCTCTTCTATCTCACTGTCTTGCTGTAAACATGTGGGCATCTTGCAGGACTAAAGCTGGCCCCACACTACAGCATAATTAGCCTGATTCTGGGCCCAATTTGCCCCTTTTGACAATCCCAGTGGGGGAAACAGCAGTTGAATCCTGACCAGACACCCGCAACAGCAATGAAGGCGAACTGGCCGGGAAACGTCACAACCACTTGTAGCATTAGCTTCCACTAGCCTCCTCGTTTCACTATTTCCAACTCACCTCCAGCTCGCGCTGCAAAATGTGTTGATTTTGTCTTCTGGGCCAAGACTTCATCCACTATTTCTTTCTCTTTTTTCTCAGGGCAAAACATAGCAGACACAACTGCTTGACTACGAATGGCTACCTCCATGTTTGTTTTGTTCTGAAGTCACGTTTGATCACGCGAGTTTCTGTGAGATCCATGGACACCTGAAATTGTTCAGTAAAAACAGCAGGTGTCTGGTCCTGCCTCTTGAATGAATCATCTAGTGTGTGTGCTCTTAAGATTAAAATGTGAAAAAATTTGTTAAAGCTGTCGTTATTTCTGTGGTCTCTCACTTTATAAAAAAAGGTTAAGATTATAAAATCCTGCAGTGTGGGCCCAGCCTTACAGGGGAAGTGTGTTTTACCCTGAACAGCCTGAATATCACCCCTCTGAGGATCAAAGACCTTTTTGCTTCTGATTGGACTGTTAAGGAGCTGCTAATGGGATATTTTAGAGGCTACCTTCTCTGTGTGTATGTTGGGTTGTAATGATTTAAGCTTCCATACACATAACAAAAAGTAAGAGTGAGACATACTAAGAATGGATGTGAAGATCTATGTAAAAACATAGCCTAATCATAATCTCTGGTGTTGTGGTTGATTATGTAAAAACATAATCATAATCTCTGGTGTTGTGGTTGAGATGTGCAGGCTTTACTCTCCCTTTTTCTCTCCCTCTTCCTCCCTGGGTGAATGGTGGATGAAGGACTGCTTGCTTTCTACGCTTACAATGAAAGAGTGCAGGGGGTCTTAAAGAAGGTCACAGAGGAGGGGGAGGCTGCATGGGAGAGCCTGGCAGTTACTGTGTGAACGCAGCTCTATTGTCCCAGGAAGTGGCTTCCCCAAGGTCCCTGTTTTTACCCCTCCCTCCACCTGACACACTTGTTCTCCCTCACATGCGTAAACACACACATAACATACTTTGTCCTTTTCTCTCCCTATCACACTGTCTCACTCGCTGTCTTATTCAAACACACAGTCTTATCCCATTTGGTGTCTCTCCCATGCACCCCCCACCCCTTTGCCTCCACTTTCTCCTCATTTCCCACAAGCACACAAGGCCTGTCCCTCCTCCTGCTCGATCCCCCAGTCGCTCATTATTTCGCCTCATTGGTGTGATTGTCATGGCAATGAGACAGAAAAAGCAAAAACATGCAGTGTTCTCCTTTACATCACCGCTTTCCTATGGAACAAGAAGCACAGTGTTTCTGAAATGTTTAGGCAGACTGCTTAACCGAAGGAGCATTTTTGCTCCAAACCAGACTTTATTGACTGTAATTCATTGTCCTTTGTGTCAGCAAATGATGGTGTAATTTTATCATTTTGTCTTCTCTTATTGGCATGAGGTTGTAGGGTTTGCAGGGGGTCACTAGCTGAGAAAGCAGGACCAGATGAGGACTCAGCTGGTGGGAAGTGGCCTCAGTGAGCAGAAGTGTCTCTTCTTTTTGTGGACAGCTGTAATGACATGATTTGTAGTTTCCTGTGGCGACAGTGATAGCACAGTACTGCTACTTGCCTAGTTGGTGATCTATTGTATTGAGGATGTAATTACATGTTTTTATTGATATAGTTTTGTAGTTAAACTGATTTAAAAATATTCAAATTCCTTGTTGTTGTTAATGAATGTCTGCAAGGCCCAAAATAGGAGTTGTGTTTCTAGTACCTGTCAGCTATTATTAGCCTTCTGTATGACTGCCAGAGCTCCTGTGTCTCTCCAACCTGCTTTTCTCTGAGGTGATTTAGCTGCACAGTAAAAGCTCTGAAACTATAATTAAGAGTGAATCATTTGATTGGAATGGCTAAAAATTGCAGGTTTTTATTGGGAAAAGTGTGTGTGAATGTTTCTGTCTTTTTGTTTGTCTTCCCTGTTACTCCTTGATTATCTATAGCTGTATTGTTCTGGACAAATGTTTGGACAGGAAGGAGAGATGTGACACGGAGGACCAGGAAACAAGAGCCAGACTCAGACCTTAAAAACAGGAAGCAGGAAGAAGCCTAGATAAGATGGCTGCTCTGGTGCACCCTGGAATTTCTCCTGCTTTGAGTAATTGTCTGTAGTCCTTTGAACTACATAGTGTTCAGAGTGTCTGATGAAAACCTTTGGGAGTTATGTTTTGCGGATGTGTTTGAACCCTGTTTATTCTGTGGAGGAAGTAATGAAGCAGGTATCCTTCAGTTGAGGCAGTACTGGTCTTTATTCTTGTCCAACAATGATTATGCATCAAAATTCCCATTTGACTGTGGTGTGATTGATAATTTTCTCAGTTTTTGGTGTTGACTTTATCCCTGAATCTCTGTGTTAGGATTCCAGCTGGGCCAGTGTCAAGCTGGCCTGGGATTAGCTGGCACACTGTGTCTTCCTATCGCTAATGCTTTAATGTCACTGCTGGCTCGCACAAGTCTTCTGGTTTTGGGACACTGTTTGTCACTGCTGTCAGTCTTCTGGATTATTTGTTTAAACATATAGTAAGTAGACAGAATAATAAGAACTTGCCTAAAAATGCTGTCCCATATAACAATACCACTGTAGACCAAGTGCTCAAAACGATGTTCTCAGACATTTAGTCATAGAGCGGTTGCAATCTGATGCAGGGAAGTGAAAAACAGGGCTGAGTGATGCTGACAAATCAAGTGTTTTAAGTTTGACTCAGTGTATTGGACTATATAATGAAGGTATCCATCCATCCTTTAGGGGGGCACATCCCTGGAGAGGTCGCCAGTCAGAGACAGACAACCACTCACACTCACATTCGCCAGTCGACCAAACTTGCATGTCTAAATTTGTCGACTTGTGTTTTGATGTACCTATATATATATATATGATAGCATATGATAATCAAAATCATTCACAATATCCTTTCTATATCAGTGTTTTTGTCATATATTGATGTAAGACTCTCCCTAGCTTTGTGACAGATGTGTGCCCACAGTTGGTGGGGATTCACTGTTTTACTCACAGATGATACTGTTGGCAAGCATCTGGTCTGCTGGTTTCTCCATTACAGTGTCTATAACCGGTGTACCAGTGTCTAAATTAGAATGTGCTTGTTTCCTGCGTTTCCCGGCAGCTTGTGTCAGTGCGAGGCCTTGCCATGCCGTTGGTAAAGAGGAACATCGAGCCCCGTCACCTCTGCCGAGGGGAGCTCCCTGAGGGCATCGGCAGCGAGCTTGAGTGTGTGATGAACAACACGCTCTCTGCCATCATTCGTCAGCTCAGCAGCTTGAGTAAGGCAAACACTTACATACACTCCATTATTAATGTCTTGTCCTTTGACAGTTGGCCTTTGCCCATTTACCCTCAGTTGCACCAAGTTTCCCCTTTTCACTCTGACTTTGAGAGTTCATTCTGTGGCCCACCAGCATAAAATTTATATCTGTCCTTTTTGTTGCTAACCCTCAGTTATACCTCTTCACTGTTTCTCTCTTATTGTGTCAAGTTCCTGTGCTGGGAGTGGGCCTTTCTGCAGCAGCTGTGGGGGTTAAATATAAATGCTCCCACAGGCCTGGCGGGGTATGTCTACAGAATATGTATATTGTGCAGGTCAGTGTGCACATGTCAATGGACCATAAGAATCTTCAAGAGAGGTCAGAGTTGACTGGGCTCCGCATGCCTGTGATTTTTTTTCCTTCCTCTATAAATATTTTTCCCGCAGCCCATCCTGTCAGCAGGAGGGACAGAAATGGACCTTAGAATGAGTTTCTGTGGTTTAGCCATACCCCTTGAACTTTGTTAGAAAAGTGCCAAAACTATTCTGGTTTGTTTTTAACCTAGTGACTTTTTCCCAGTAGATCCTGCACCTTAGCATTTGTAATCTTGTAGTAAAAGGCCTTCTGTTCCTTTACTGGACTAATATTCATGGAGCACATTGTGCCCTCCACTTGCACTCAACCAACACAAGTTTGGAGCACATTGTGCACTCCACTTGCACTCAACCAACACAAGTTCACTACCTGGCCTAACACATCAACAGAGGATGCAGTATCCATTGCTCTCCACTTTGCATGGTCACACCTGGATAGAAAGGAGTCACCTGTTTTGGGAAGGTTACTTTTGGAATATATAGAGCAGCAACAAATCTTGCGTTATGAGCCTTGCTTAATGACACACCAAGAACAGCTTTTAAGGAAGGGAAAAGGGTATTATTTACTTTCCCTGCCGACAGTCTTACAAATAGTGTAGGTCCCTGGAGTAATCAAGTCAACATCATGATATCGCAAGTAATACAAACTAATTCTGCTGCTTTCTTTCATGGCCACACAACAGGCACATATAATTTGGACAATTTAGAATTGGCTCAGTTTGTTGAGGAATGTTGCTATATGGAGTGGTATGAGACATTTTCTCCACAAACTCCTAAGACTCCAGTTTCATATTGCATCACATTACCATTGTATTATTGATTTAACTTTAGTCTCTGGAGCCAAGTGGCTTTGGATAGCAAGTCTCCATCTTTATCTCAGATTTCCTGTCTCGTTCTCTCCTCTCGTTTCTTTCCAGGTAAACATGCTGAGGACATATTTGGCGAACTGTTTAATGAGGCCAATATCTTTTACCTGCGTGCCAGCTCTCTCCAGGACCGCATTGACCGGCTGGCCGTCAAGGTCACACAGCTGGACTCCACTGTGGAGGAAGGTGGGTCAGATGGAAAACACAGCATGCTCATGTTTTCTACATTTTCTGCCTACTTTTTTCATTTCCCCATTGTTTTTGTTTATTCCTTTCTTGTCTTTCCAATGGACTAATAATTCAGTCATTTGGTTCTGTTTTGTGTTCAGTTTCCCTGCAAGATATCAACATGAGGAAAGCCTTCAAAAGCTCTACTACTCAGGACCAGCAGGTGGTGTCCAAGAGCAGTGTGCCCAATCCTGTCAAGGAGATGTACAATCTGGGCGACAAGCCTCCTCCACTCAGCATCCTCTCACCGTACAGGTACAGCGCACACACTCGCCAAACAGACGTCCACTGTGGCCCTGCAGCAGAATCACTGTTAGATTTATTGAGCTTAGCTGTATGCAACGTCTTGGTCAAGAGTTTCTATTCTATTGCTTCATACCTGCGAGTGTTTTGTGTGTGGATATTTTTTGAATGTATTTGGCAGCAGTGCCAAACTGATACTGAAAACAAAAAAGTGCTTAATTATTGAGCAAAATTCAATTGTGTGAACAGACTAATGATGAAAGACTTTTTTTTTTTACTACTCCAGACTAACATTTGGTTATAGCTTGTTCAACATTTGAGCTTTTAAATGCTGAACTTAGAATGTTTAAGCCATTAAACATAAAGGGATAAAATGTCCCTACTGGTTGTCCATCATACCAATATGACTGTAAAACCAGTATCACCTATTAATATATGTGACATTAAAATAACTTAGAATGAACTTTGTAAACCATGCAGAACCCCAGTTCAAAGATTCTTGATTTTTGGTTCCTGACCTACAGTCACATTGAAGCAGCAGATTTCCTTCTGTTATGTGGGAGCTGCTTTTATGCAGTGTGCATCCTAGTGCTTTGGGTGCATTACATATTTAGCACAGCTGGCTCCAGGGGGAGTCCGACTCCTTACCCTGTCTACACAGCACACTTTACTCTTTCTCCGGTCTGTCTGTCTCTGTGCTTTTCCAGTTTTTCATCCAGTCATTTCTAGTTATGGTGCCTGTCAAATGAATTGTGGATACCTACTCTTAATTTCAACCTTATTCTTCTATAAACCTCCTCCACTTCTGGAATATTCATAGTTTCACATGTTTTATCCCTAAATTTCTTCATATTCCCACAGAGATACACTGAGCCAAAAATTTGATTAGATTCAACTTTGTCATTACTCATGTACAAGGCAACAAAACACAGTAATAACAGCAGTGAAGTGTTACCTACAGTTCTGCCTAAACAGGGACAATGCATCAACTCTACTTCATACAGGTTTTTGTACAAACCCATTTGTAAACCTGTTTTACCTTCTTGGTGCGTGTCTCTGTAGAGATGATCACAAGGAAGCACTAAAGTTCTACACTGATCCCTCATACTTCTTTGACCTGTGGAAGGAGAAGATGCTGCAGGACACTGAGGACAAGAGGAAAGAGAAGAGGAAGCAGAAGGTACACTGTTATGAGGAAGTCACAGATCATACCATGGTTTTAAATACCAGGATTATTGTGGTCAAACAAGAAACAATAAGTTACTGGTGCCACATCTTCCCAGACTTCTCAAGTTGGCTTCAGTGTACAATTGATGTTATGAGTGTAGTCATTTTCAGAATAACAAATATAATGGATTGCCAACCCTTTATGTTGCTGTTTCTGGTCTGAGCTTATTTAAATCAAAGTTTCGGGCAAAGGAGGACCCAAAATACAGAGACGGTCTAGAGTTTATACAGTTTAATATAACTGAAGAGGAACAAAGGGGTAAACAGATGCTCAACCTGACAGGACTTCACAGTACAGGTACAAAACTAATATCTAAACAGAACAGTCAGGGAGCTACATGAAACAAACTCTAAACTGAAACAAACCCGGAGAACTAACCAAGATTCTTGCAGACAGGAAGAACTCAAAGGAACAGTCCAAATGTAACCAAGGCAACTGATACAAAAACTTACAAAGCAGACAGGCAGGGTGTGGTACGCAGAGAGACGGATGATGAGGCATGGATAACGGAAGGGAGGACGATATATAGACAGGAGATCAGGAGGTTAATAGGCGACAGGTGGAGACAATGAATGGTGATAAGGAACCGGGGTAAAGCTGGGGCAGGAGAGGTGGTACAGGACAGGAAGTCTAACCAAAATAAAAGCACAAAACAGGAAGCCATTCCACAGACCATAACACAAATAACCTAAAAACTCTTTTTCCTTGTTTTTCTTGTAGGAGCAGCGGCGTTGTGTGGATGGGACATTACAGAGGGAGGTGAAGAAGGTCCGTAAGGCGAGAAACCGTCGGCAGGAGTGGAACATGTTGGCTCTGGATAAAGAGCTGAGACCGGACCATCGACACACCATACACCGCGACAGAGGGGCTTCATCTGAGAGCTCAGTATCGCCAGAGAACAGGTAGATGAACAAAGGCAACAGTATTTTTCTTCATTTTCATCAGAAGATACATTAATTGTTAGCATATATTCATCCGGTGACAGACAGGATGCGTTGTGCTGTGCTATTCTACATTCATATTTCCCTTTATTAGGGGTCATGGTCTTGATCAGCATCATCACTACCCCAACACCATGAACCATGCTGGTCATGCCCACACCTACTCTGGCCCTCCGCCCAGCATCCTGGCTGCTCAGATGGCCACTCGTGGTGGAGGTGAGCATGACAACAGGGGTAGGACAATAATGGCCTATCAGGGAGGGACACTGGGCCGATCTCACCACCACCAAGTGCTGCTGCCTCCTCCACCTACTGAAGCTATGAATGGTGGCTCCATGCCCCTTCCACCAGTGGACTACAGGTAAAACTGAAGCCAGTGTGACACTACCTTTTTTCACACCCTCTTGCTGTAATTCAAGATTTTTCCATACTCTCAACCATATCTCCATTCATGTTATCACTTCAGAAAGTTACTTAGTTAATCTAGATGTCAGAGGCTGAACTACGTCACACAAGTGGATGGCTGGATAGGAGCTGCCCTATATCAGTCCTGGGATATCCATTTGGCTTCTGTCTGTTTATGAGTGTTCTTAACTGATATTGTATTCTATGTTTTATTGTTGTAGCACTTTGTGCTCTCGAGTTGGAAAGTGCGGTACAAATAAAGTTTATTATTATTATTATTATTATAAGTATAAAGAAGGTTTGACACTAGTATAGTAAATAGTTTAAGATGTCTGAATTAAATTATGTGGGCACTTTACTATAATGTGTGTGGGTTTTTATTTGCGGTATTAACTACTGCCAAATAGCACAGTTGAGTTTTTGCTGCCACCTAGTGGGTCACTGTCTTTATTTCAGACCCAGATGACTCTAGACATCTTCCTCCTAAGAGACTTGTTAACTCTTTACTCACACTCTTGAATTCTGTTTTTCTTGCAGTATGGATGGTTATGCCAACACTGGCCCCCCGCCCCCTCCCCCAGCCCCTCTCATTCCTTCTTCCCAGACCGCTTTTGCCTCACCTCCTGGAGGCCCAGCACCTTCTGGGCCAATGGCTGGGGCTGGGAGCTTAGCTCCGCCCCCGCCACCCGTCCCAAGCAACTCCAGCACCTCCTGGTCCTCCACCTCCCCCGCTTCCAGCTGGTGCCTCCCACTCCACAAGCCACAAGATGTCCTCCTCTGCACCTGCTGAGGCCACAGTGGTCAGTGATGCCCGCAGTGATCTGTTGGCTGCTATACGTATGGGTAAGAGTCTTACATTGTATGTGTGCTTATAAAGATGTGTCATCTTTAGAACAATATACATTTGTATCACCTTTCAACAGAACATTTGTTTCAACAAGGAAGATGAACAAATGCTTGTGAATAACCTTCTGTTGGAAAGTGTCAGATCTTAAAGAAAAAGGCTTAAGCATACTAATTAGATGGTTGTAGCAAACATAGAGGATAATTAGCTTGATTTATATATTTTGTAAACTGTTAGTAAAAAAGGTGTTTAATACACAGCTTTATCATTTTTTTTTTCCTTTTTCCAGACTTTTTTTAATACTGGTTCTCTAATGATCACACTCCACTTAATGTGTGTATAACTTAAAAACATGGATTTACACTCTATTTTGCTGCAGGCATCCAGCTGAAGAAGGTGCAGGAGCAGCAGGAGCAGCAGGCCAAGAGGGAACCAGTTGGAAATGACGTGGCCACCATACTGTCACGGCGCATCGCTGTGGAATACTCCGACTCCGACGACTCCGAGTTGGAGGACAATGATTGGTCGGATTAACACACACAAACAAATGGGATAACTACTGAAGATACACACAATAAAAAGGCACACAATCATTTGAAAAAATGCTTATTGTATCACACTTACAGGCTGTCACACACTTTGTTGCTGAAAACACACACTCATACACCTACACACATTCACATTCTGTAGGTTGATATAAGCTCAATGGTCCAAAACTGGACATCAGGGGATGCATTCAAGACGCACCAACACTGTAAAGAGACTATTAATATACTTTAATGCTGACCGCTCTGTGAAACACTAACATTCAGTCTGATGATTGTACAGGTTGTCAAAGCCTTGTGACTACACCCCTGTGGATGTTTCTCTACCTGGTATAAGACTATAGTCACCCTGTAAAGGTGCTTATTTCATGTATAGTTAAAGCTTGAGAAAGTTAGAAGAAATAGAAACTTTCCTCTTGAGCTGACCAATGTACTTGTCTTTTTAAAATGTTTTTACTCAAACACTTGTGTATGCCATAGATCGCGAGGCAAATTTTTAATATGTAGATGAGTGGAAGTGGAGGAGTAATTGTAGCGCTAAGTGGTCGCTGTGGTCAGCGATTCAATGGATGCAGGCCACTAAAAACCATTTGAAATGCTGTGGTCTTAAAAGTCTTATTGGTTGTAAATATGATTGTCATCTGTGCCTGCAGTCGCTCGCTGCTGTGCTGGATGGGATGGGGGGGGTGTACATGCTAACATGAGCTCTGTAACCTCTGGGTAAAATAAAATGATGAATGAAGCCTCGTGGCTGGGCTGCCATGTCTCTTTACTGCTCCAGTGTCGTCATAGAGACAACACATACCTGGCTAGAAGACTTCAGCTTCCATGGTAACAGTACAGCTAAGGAGGAAGTTGCCAGGGAAACAGTAGAGTGTGAAAAGAGGGGCACGGAGCCAGGGTGAAGATGAACAAATTAGCCAAGGCAGGAGTTTTATGCACAGCACGTTTGTTTTAATACAAAATTAACAAGATCTCTCAATTGAGTGAACTAACCAAAGCAATAAAAAGTACAACTAACACCTTGGAAAAATAGACACCACGTTCACACAAATGTTTTTACAATATCTCAGTTAAGTTAGTGCATGTTGATCATCATTTATACATTTCATTTTGCAGATAATTTGTTGTGCCATTTTCATCCCCCAAAAATAAAGTGCATTGTACATTGAAAACTATGTCTACACAAGATGCTGTTACTGTGGCACCCCCACCTCCAGACCCCACCCCAAATCACACACACATTCACAGGCTCTTGAGTGTTTTGATGTTTAGCTCTAGATTAGTAAAAATCAGAAAGACACTGCTTCCCTTGAACACGCACATCATTGGCTACACATTTTCTTCAACGCTCGAGTTGATTTGTACACCTTTGTGTACTGTGAAACAGTTCAGTAGATTAACACGTGTGTATACAGAGAAGTATTATATCCAGCATCACAGTCTTTTACAAAGCCCTTGTTCACACCCGCTCACCCATCGTGATCTCAGCAATACTATTGGCTGCAGATGATGAAAATATTAGCCAACAGAAGAAGCTTGTGTACCAGTCTTCTTCTCAAACATCTCCCACCTGTGCAGAGAAGTCCACACAATCATCCATTAACCAGCCTTAATAAACGGGTGCATATCGAAGTGACGAAGCCAGCCTTTATAAACGGGTGCATATCGAAGTGACGAAAGTGAAACCTAACAGAAGATGTCCTGCTTCGACTGCCGAGGTGGAGAAATGTCATTCAAAAAAATGGTGCGACCCAACTCATCCCCTACTTTAACTGGCTTTGGTAGCACCATGCAAGGTGGTATAACGTCCCTCCTCTTAACCATGCCTTATTTACAGAAACGAATGAGTCAGGAGGGGTATTAGTTAAACAACGTAATTATTACTACATTCAGAAAAAGGCTTTACAGCGCTGAGAGTATCTTAAAACATCAGAATGTGAAAAGAATTCAGGCCAGACTGAAGTGGAAAAAAAATAGAACTTTTCAATGAATATAACAAAATAGACTTTTCTCCAAAGGTAAAGGAACAGAGGATTGTGATGGTGTGTGATGTGCCAGGCTTCAGTCTGACACTGTGCACAAGTTTACATGACATGGGCTACGTTCCACTGCTTAGAAATGTTATTCTTTAGCTTTCCTTACTCATCCCTGCCTTTTTAACACTTAACAAAGAAAGACCGGGGAGCTCCTTTAAATTCCTCTCTTAGGCTCAGCAAGGAAGAGAGAGAAGGCAACAAGGAAGAAAAGAAGCATGATCTGTGCATGTGGAAGTGGCGATTTTTAGCTCATATGATTAATTTACAGGTCACTTTAAGGACACCTGCCTTGACCAGACTAGACTGATTTCAGCTAGAGTAAAAGACTAGTGATATAGAGAAGACAGATAGCACACAGCAGGACTAGGATCCCAGTTCATTCAGAGTCCCTTTCACTTTGGTTTGAAGTGCTGGAGCATCCATGTCTGAGTCCTATCTCCCTTTAGAAAAAGCTCTTCAAATGAGGCCACTTCTCTCAGAGCTGACAGGAAGACTGGTAGTATGATCCTCTAAGGTCAAGGGGTCAACAGGAATTTATAAACCTCTGACCTGTTTTACTCCCACCTGACAACAACAGGGAGACAGACAGACTATGGTCTGCTGAGCTGCTGGGTCACGCACAGACACACATGCACACACCCAGAGGCCATGCAGCTCATACTGTATGCACAAATACACAGGCCCGAGTCACACACCAACACTCGAGGCCACAATACTCAGGACAGTTCATATGCTCACAGAAAAGGAGAGTCTATACAAAAAAGTTAATTGTGGCATTACACAAATGATCAAAGCCCAATTTTCAGTTGGGAAAAAACATTGCTGCAGAATGAGGCAGTGTTGTCACAGATAAGTTGTTTGAGTTTGTCCATTTTTTTTTTCCAAGCTCTGGAGTGACTATCTTACCACCGAACCATCACCTGTGGCTCACTGAGTCTGTTCACTACAACACATCCCCACTTGAACAGTCACGGTACTTCACTCTGCAGGAAGAAATCGAGGTGGGACATGGATGTTATTGCTGTGTGGGTATTGCTTCACTTCTAAAAAAAATAACTACCATTCACAGGCTAGTTATTGCTGACATGTGAATAAGGAAATCGGCGTACATGTTTTTGGGGGTGTCCTGCAGACTAATTTTGTGACCAACAACTAATAATTATCTACATTTCAGAGCAGCCAGTGGGTGTCCATCAAATTACAGTAAGTTGAACTCAAGTCATGACCAAAACAGAGCTGTAAGAACACTTCTGAACTGAAACTGAATTGCACCATACAGCAGAAGGTTCCACATTTTTCAAGAAGGGTGAAAATCCAGTGACTATCAACTGGTGATGATTGTAGCTCTTTCAACATTGTGGAGGGTTGCACTTAATAAAATTGTTAGGGTCATGAGGACATCAGGATACATGGCAGATCCGCCTGCAGTGATCAATGTGACCTACCACACTGAACTCAGGAGGAAAAGGGGGCTCTGTGCTTGTTGCATGCAAATTACATGGAAGTCTGGTGTGCAGATTGTGTGACACTCTTTAGGTGCCCAGAAAGATCAAATATCTGGAAATACAAAGAGAATTAGCAGATTCCCAGACAAAGATCACGCAGAAGTTTTTATTTGGGCGTTTGTCTGATTGTAGCTACTTGGTTATGATCAATTACTCTCCTCCTTACATTTCATATTTGTTATCCTTTAAAAACATGTTATCAAAATCACAATCACCAATAGAATTATAGGTTATAGAAAACTCCAGACATTCAAAAGGCGATTTTCATTGAAAAACGCAAAACAAAAGGGATTTAAGGAGGTTACATAATCCGACAGGTTTATATTCAGTTTGGTGCCTTCATAGTGATAAAAAAAAAATGGAGGAGAGGTGGTTAGGGGCGAGCCTCTCCTGGGGGGTTGTTTGTTTTGAGCTTCCCAGACGGATAACCAAAACATGTTCACTCGCAATCCAGAGAAAAATAAGAGAATGTGAGAGGCTAGAGGGAGACGAAGCATCTTGATTTCGTTCTCGGCATCTGTGGAGGACGGAGGGCGCGGATCAGAGAGCGCCGGGGCTATTTATAGCTCCCCGCAGCTGTTTAGCTTTCGGCGCACGTTCAGAGTGCAGCAGCAGAGCGCCGGGATGCTGCTCCAGACGGGCTTTACTGTGGAAACGCCTGTATATTCAGCCGCGGCCGTGCTCTCCTCACGCACACACTGCTTTATTAATCCGCCATGAGCTTTTACGCACAAACTAAGATCCCCTCCCTAGACGCGTGTCAGCCAAAGCTCCAATGCTGTTAAATGAATGCACATTGTATGTACAGCTGCTGCCTGTAATATGTGATGCACTCAGTGCTCTCTGCAGAACAAGGGCGTGGCAAGGGGTGAACAGGAGGGGGCGGGATGCAGCCCGCGGAGTGGCCACCTTTACTGGGGAAGACAGTGAAATAGCTTGCCCTATGGTGTGTGTAACTAATTAAAAAAACGCTATCCACCCAGGTGGGCTGTGGATAACTAACCAAACTTTCTCCGATGCGTTGAATCCACAGCCCTGTGCCACTTGTCCTGACCTCCCATTCTGCTGCTCTCAGTGACACCGGACAGACCCAGGGAGGAGCAGAGCTGACCCAGGGTGCCTCTCACTTCCCACCTGGGTCTGCTTGGTCAGACGTCACTGGGGGTCCGTGCACGCTGGGCCACACTGGTGGGCACACAGCCGCAGCATACCAGCCACAATGCCTTCTGGATCTCCTGGTTCCTGAAGGCGTAGATGACCGGGTTAATGACAGAATTGTAGGTGGCAGGCACCAGTGTGGCATAGGTATAGAGTGGAGGGTAGGTGTAGTCAGCAATAAGGGAGTAGACAGTGAATGGCATCCAGCAGGCTGCAAAAGTACCCAGGATGATGGCCAGCGTTGATACGCCCTTCCGTGTTGTGACATAGTGGGGTGTGGCAGCCAGGAAGTGGTGCTGGAGGGCGATCTGGTGAGCATGGCGCATCACAATCTTACAGATCTGGACGTAGAGTTGCAGCATGAGGCCAAAAAGAAGCAGGAAGGAGACTGACAGCACGGCGATGTTGTTCTTGGTCAGTGGCCGCACCACGCTGCATGTAACTTCTTCTGATAGACAGTTGACCCCTGTGACTGGCAGCAGGCCCAGACAGAGGGAGAGGCCCCACAGCATGATGAGCATCGTGTAGGTGAAGGCCGCTGTCCGCTCCGAGTTGTAGGTGAGGGCATAGTACAGCGACAGGTAGCGGTCAATCGTGATGGCCAACAAGCTGAAGACGGAGGCGGAGAAAGAGGCCACCACCAGGCCCACGGTCAGCAACTGGGCTGAGTCGGAGTGAAGCAAATAGGCACAGATGAAGTGAAGCACCAGGCCCAGGCCGGCCAGCAGGTCAGCCAGTGCCAGGCTGCCGATAAGCAAGAACATGGGGGCTCTGAGCGCTGGATTCTGCCAGATCACCAACACAACCAGGGCGTTCTCGCAGGCTATCAGAGTCCCCGATGAGCACAGCACAATGTCCCAGGGGTTGACCAGCAGGGGCAGCTGGCTGGGTGGGAGGGAGTCCTCTGGTGGAAATGTCCCCAGGCTGCTGCTGTTGTCACTCTGCCCCGTGCCTACACTGGGCCATGCTGTGGGGTCAGGGGCCAGCCAGCTGGGGGTGACTGAGGGCTCTTCACTCATTGTGTCCCCCGTCTGAAATGGACACAAACACACAAACCAAAAGAGAAAAGGAGTACCATAAACAAATTTGTTACGTGTTTCTATTGTGTATGCTTTTTTTTTAGCTTCCTGCACTGAAGACAAGAACAGTGGTGGGCTTTTCCCCTTTTGCCACCACCACTCCACCCACCTCTGTGGGCACCACTGGATTTCTACTGTTTTGTAAAAGCCCGTGTTACTTGGATTCCACAACATAAACATGGCCACAGTCAAGGGTAGCCTGTACTCTCAGTGTGTGTCTGGGCCTGCAAACGCACATTATGCAGGGTCACACGCTCTTTTTAGACTATATTTTTAGGAAATACAGACTACAAGCTAAAAATGCGCACCTTAATGTTGCTGTTGTATAAATAGGGTTAAACTCGTTGAGCTTCACCAGAAAGCAAATCATATTTCATTCCGGTCACTCTAAAAAAAAGTGTAGCTACAGGAATAAGAGCCTACATTACATCTGCTCCAGAAAGTTGACAGCTAATCTGTTTTCCTCTTTTGAATTGAACCCAATGACTGCAGGCTTTTATAACAGAGGCCTCTACGTGCGTTAGACCACACGTGAAGAACTGTTTATTAATGTATGGACAAAGGAAATGCAAGGGGAGAAGAGAAAACGAGCAGGCTTTGCCGCAAATGTCAGGCCACATTTCCCATATCGGTAACCCTCCACCGGCACCAGCAATAATTCACGCGGCTGCCTGAGACCAGTGGCCACGCTCCACAACAGGAGATACCGCACCCGTCATGGAAACATTGCCGCGCCATACTGGTGGCCACACATGGGTCTGCTTTACCCCGTGCACCTTGCATCAGGGAAAAAAACAGTGCCTGCTCCACGTCAGCAGAAGGATGCTGGAGTGATAAAAGGAATTTTTTCATGCATGTCATGGATGCTCAGTAGTCCCTTTCCGCCGCTACCCAACCTACCTTGACTCCGCGAGGTGCGACTTCCCGTTTAGATGGAAGAACAACAGCCTTGAATTCCCATGTTAACTGATAAGGATGGTGCGGCTCCCGCGGACAGAGACGCGGCCCGGGGAGCGAGATGCTGGTCCTCTCTCTCTTTCTGAAAGCGAGGATAATGGAAGAAGAGAGGAGAGCGCGAAGCGGCTCTGCCGTTAACGGCGCATCGCCAGAGAGGAGGAGGAGGTGGTGGTTGAGGCGTGTGCGTGGAGAGAAGGAGGGGGTCGATGATGAAGAAGGACTTCCAAATGGGCCAGACTGGTTGAGAGCGACTGAACTCTATTAAAGGTCTGGTTTCTACTGTCTCAAGGACAAAGACAGGTGCACATGTGTGTGAATGCAGTCCCTGTATTTTACCTGTAGTAATATTAATACTAACAATCTTTATCGATAGAGCACTTTTCAAAATAGTGCTTCACAAATATACGAACGGCAGAAAAATTATATAGGCTAATAACACAAACATGAATATAGTGCACAATTTTCAGCCTAAAAACCAAACATGTAATGTGCACATCTAACCTACATGCACACAGGGTTAGGTAGGATAAGAGTAATGTGTAGCCTGTAGCAGTTTGGTGTACAGTGATGGGTACACAACATTTGTTGGTCAGCTCATCAAGTTCACTTTGGTTCACTCACATAATCACTGCATTAAAAGTCCAGTTGGTTTCAGTGGTTTTGCGTGGTGCCTTACTCCAGATCCAGGTATGTGCTGGATGCAAAGAGCAGCTGTGCTATCCTGGTCCTGTCTGACCCATTAACAGCAACCTATAAGTGTGTCACCACCGCCCTCCCTTCACCTCATCTCTCCATCTTTGAGGTGCTACCTCCAAGACACCTCAGCAGATGAGGAGCTGTTGGGTAAGTTGTTGATGTGCACATACCTGACAGTCCAACACAGCACAGTCAGCTGACCAAACTCTGTGCATATCCCAAAGCACTTGCCTTTTGGGTCTGAATGGATTAAAAATAGCTCCTGTTGCAGTGAGAAAGCAGAGCTGAATCCACTTAGGGGCGATGTTGAGCTAATATGAGTCATCAGTGCATAGTAGTGGGACACAGCAGAGCGAGCACATCCCGACTCGATTTAAGTACTTTATTTTTCTTTAAAACAGAAAATGATCGCTACACCACAGGCCTTTAAGCAAACCCTCACATTAAACTTGCTAACACCTACAAAACGGTATCAAAAGTGCACCATAGTGTTAATACATCATCTCAAGTTCTAACATTTTCCAAGGATAATATTATCTTCTTGTAATATTTATACAAATAACATTCTGTACACTGTAGAAATACAGGACCCCGTGTGTTCTACAAGTGGGATGCTCACCCTCCCACCGCTCCTCCTTTCCGTTCCTTGATCTGCTCACTAAATCCCAGTGCAGAATAACAGTGTGTTTAAGGAGGGTGAAGACACTAGGCCAATATTACACCATATGAATTATTAAATACCCATTCAACCCCACACCCAAGGCAAAAACTAGCATGCCACTCATTCGATTTACCCACATCTGTACAACCCTCATTCAACGTCTTTTTAAAACAATCTTGACAGTTTCCATTCATTATTGTCTCATTGTCCCTGCAGCAGCAGCAGCGTCCAGTCAGCATGAAGGGGATGAGGGGGCAGGAAATACATGGAGCCCAGGAGAGACAGCTGGCACATAGGGGAGACTTCCACAGCTGAGCTGCAGAGCTGAACGTGTAAAAAGGTATGAATTACAGCTGCGCAGACAGGTATGACACCATGTGCGTTGCTGTGGTGCGTTTATTGTCTGTTGCTCCTCACAAAGAGGAAACAGAACTTTTTTCCTGCGTTCTGCAGTAAAACGCTCACCTCCACATTTAGTCTCTGGACTGGTAAAAGAGGATATATCCTGACTCAGAGTTCTTGGAGATTTCAGAAGTGAGACCGTAAAATTCTTCTATGGCCTGCGCATCAATTTTCTGCAAGAACACACAGGTGACATACAGCAGGGGGGAAAGAGAAATTGGCAATCTGCAAGAATATATGCAACTAAATCAACTTTGGCAAAGAAGCTCACCTCTACAATATCATCATCAAACAGCAACCAGAAGTCATGACTTTTCACAATGGCAATGTAGTGCCCCCTGTTTGGCCCGCTGAAAAACAAAAAACACATTGTATTAGCTCTGAGAAGTAAACTATAGCCCACACCAACATAATATCCTGACTTTAAAGGTCCTACACATCTATGACCATTTATTTTCTGATTAGATTCCTTCTCAGGACCACGCAGGTGTGTAAACTCATGGTTACCTCATACGTAATGACACACAGTATAGATACCGGCTTTCATCAAACTCGATTTGACAGTTCTAGGTGAAAGGTTATCCAATCAGAAGCTTTGTCCCGCCCCCA